TAGATAGATAGATAGATAGATAGATAGATAGATAGATAGATAGATAGGCAGGCAGGCAGGCAGGCAGGCAGGCAGGCACTGTAGATAGATATCAATAGAGATATTATTTCAATAATATTACTTATTAAATGTACTGTAGGTGAATCACAAAATAAAAGCATTACAAAAAACAAGCAAGGAGCAAAAAGATAGCAAAACTGAGCAACATTACTCAAGGAAATTCAGAAGGAAAGTCTGAACCCTCTGAAACCTCAATAAAATAGGAGCCATCGGTGGTGATAGATGTTAGATGAAATTGGGTAAGATCATTGTTGCCCAGGGTTCACCGGTGAATGTAATGGTTAACATAAACATCAACTGACAATTTTTGCAATTGAACAAATCAATAATTCAGTGTCTCATGCTTTAAAAGGTATAAGGATTAGTAAAGATACACAAAATATACCCATATTCTGAAGTTTTAATTGTGCTTACAGCTTTTTTTTGGGGGGGGGGGGGGGGGGTGTCAATGAATAGCTTTGCTTTACAATATTTGTTCTATTTAATGCATAAAGGTAGTTGAATTTCACGGATACCAGGTGAAAGGCTCAGCAGCTAGTAAGATGATGACAAGAAAAGGCTGTTTGTATCACAGAAAAGATCCACAAAGTGACATGACCAAATCTGAAAGTGCTTCAAAGGATGCATTTTTTTTCTTAGCGCAAGAACTGAACTGTCCTGGGGTGCCTGAATTTGTTAAGGTAAGATTTTTAAATGTACACATTTTTAAATCTATAAACATACTCTAAAAAAGTCAGTGTTATAAGGATTTAAAATACTGCTGTATATAAAAGGAATAATCATCATCACTATCAACAAATTCATAGGATGCGATATTGCTTCTAAGGATCAGATAGTTTAATCCCTTTCATGGGGGAGGGGGGAGATCTTTATAAATATTTTATGCTACCCAAATTTTTAAGAGGAATTACTGAGGCTCCTGTTTAGTGCCCTTGTTTTCTCTATTAATTTTTTGTCAAGCTAATATACAGCAACTAATGCCCAGAATTAATCCAAAAATCAGTGTTACCCTGGAATGCATTAAATGTGTTTATTGGGGTGGGGGGTATTTATCCTCAGTCTCTAGGTTCAGAAGATGATCTCAGTAACAGCGGAACCAAAACGTTTAGAAATGAATTCAATGTTTTTGAAGAAAAAAGCAGTAATAAATTTTGTAAGTGGCTATCAATATGAACAATTAGTGACCAAAATGTAGCATTATTCTTCAACATTTTGTGTATTTCTTCCTCTTAATAGTAACAAAGACAGCATCTTTTAAACCTCCCAGTCAGATTGTGACAAATTCTTCAAATCTAGACTTCGCAGAATCTGCTTCAGGGGAATTTAATAAGGTAATGATTAGGTGGCTCATTTTGTTTTACCATTATTTTGGTCAACCAAAAAGTTCCTACCATAGAGCTGCCTTAATTCTAGATACTGTTAAGGCTTTATCCCATTAGGATCATATACTATCCATGAATATTAAAATGTTTTTCCTCTCTTTTTTTTTTTTGAATAACATAATATTCTTCAAAAGTATCTTTTTCTCCCTTTTCTTTCTTAAAGGGTATTTCTCTTTCTCTAGAAAAGGAATGTATGTGTGTGTGTGTGTGTGTGTGTGTGTGTGTATGTATGTATGTATGTATGTATGTATGTATGTATGTATCTACACACATACATATGCATATGCATACATATATACATGCACACATATATGTAGAGTAGTAATCTTAAGAACACTGTTATGTACATCTGTTACTAATTTTGAATTAGAATTTATTTAGGTACTAAGTGAATAGTAAAGTTCAATCCATTGTTTTCTGTAAAATATGGGAATAAATGCTTACAGATGTAGATATTTGTATCTATTTGTAACTATGTATTTTTGCTTTTTTACATTCCTTCTGTTCAGCTGTTATCAAAACAATGGGTTTCTTCACAGACTACTGGCTGTCACTTTTTCCCAACTCCAAATAGTAAAGAAACAATAGAAGAGCAGGAATTGCTGATATCCAAAACTTATCCAGACTTGTATATGGATAATAAAAAACCCTTTTTCAGTAAGAAAGGTTTGATTGTTGATGATATAAATAATGGTTGTGCCAGATTTTTTGGAATGTTCCAGTTAGTGTTTGAGCATTCTTAATCTAGTTTGATCACTAACAAATAATTCATATTTTAAAAAATGTTGCTGAAATTTCCCCCACCCCTGCCTATTTGCCAGAGGTCATGATTTTTCTGCTCATAAAAAGGAACTTCTCTGTCTCCTAATCTCTGAGTGCAATTTTTCATTTATGAGTTATTTTTTTATACATGAACAAAATAAATTTATTCAATCTCTACCTATCACATTTCAGTTATTTTCTAATTATGAAATAAGTATTTAAAAATCAGTATTAAGAAATGGAGACATATTGCAAACTGTTTTGATGTCTTCCCAATTTATAATCCAATTGTTTTTATTTAGAGGTATAGCTAGGTTAATAAAAGTAGCTAGGAACTAAATTTGACTTTCAAATAACAGAAAGACACACTCTTATTATTTATTCTTATGAAAATTTCTCCTGTACTTTAAAGCTTAAACTGTATTAGTTTTGAAGAATTTAGCAGTTCCAAATTTTCAAGAGTATATACGTATAACCAAAGTTTTAATATGCTTTTCTTTAACAAACTCATTAGTGTAGTTTTATTGTAACCTTCTAGTAAGAAATACATTGTGCTGTATTAATAATGACTGCCATTGAAGTTTTTGCTTCTGAAAATATTTAGGGAAAGGCAGTCCATTCCAAAAAAACAATACTAATATTAATGCTTTTGCTATACTATCAGTAGAATTTTGTTTTCAAGTGTCTGCATACTGTACCTTGTTTTATAGGAATGTATCCAGAAAATGATATGTCTATCCTCTTACCTACTCTTGGAACACAAACTCCAGTTGTTCCTGGATTTATAGATAATCTGCTTTCTGATTTCCAGCTTTATTCCAGTGCAAACATCTGCAAACAGATTCATCATCATTGTGGTTTTTCAGTGGTCAATACATATGACAAATCAGAAATGTTAGAGCCTGAGGACAGGATGTGTAAATTTTTTGTGGGTGGAAATTACATAGGAGTAAGAGACAAGATAGCCGTACAGAGTACACTGCCTAATGTGTCTGAACAAAAGGAACAAAGCAAATGGCAGAAATACCACAACATAACTGGTTGTGATTTGAGATCTCAAAATTGCAACGAAGTGGCCATGGCTTCTGATATCAAAGCTGAGAGTTATTTAGGAATGTCATTAGAATACAGAAGAGAGAATCAGAGTAATGTCATCTATAAAAGCCCTCTGGACTCTGAGCATCTGGAGACCATAAAAAGCATGCTTTGTAAACAGCAGCAAAACTTTATCACTCAAGATTCTGTTTCAGAAAGAAAGAAACTTTCCCTGCACTTAAATCAACACTTTTGCACTGAGGAAGTTCTAAGTGAGTTAGGTCACCTGAGTTTCCCCAAAAAAACCAGAGATAGAAAGGTATGTAATTGTTCCCAATGTAAAGAAATGCTGTTAAATATTGTACATCATGTGTACATGCAGATTAGTTTTGTTGTATGAGCCTAATGTTTTCTCACCGTTTTTAACAAGGTTTCAGGAATAGTGTGTTAACAGGTTTCAAAATATTTCAGTTTGATAATTTCATAATCATAGTTTATCAAATGAAGATATGTACAGTTTTTACTTATTCGTAAAACCATGACTCCTGCTTTTGCTGCAAACTGTGCTAACACAAGGAATTTAATTAACCATAAACTCTTACTGCAAACTTCAGAACAAGCCTGCATCTTCAGACATTGTTTTAAGTCCTTAGGTGATTTTTATGGAACTCTATAAAAGTCAAATTCCAAAATTATACATTACAATATACATTCTGGAGACAGGATATTTCCAGATTATCTAAGATTACGATTTAGGCACTCAAATAGATGAATACCCAGTAGGATATGTGGTCATAAAAAATAGAAGAATAGACATAGCTTTAATAAATGCTATATTCAGTGGTCTTAAATATCTGTGCATATGAGATTAGAAAAATGGAAATAGGAATTTGCTTATTTTGTTTTACAGGACACTTCTGAACTGCATTTCCCTAGGGTGGATATGGTAAAGAATACTAATGTACCTAAACGACAACAACGCATCCCAGTCGAATTTCAGTCTCCAGCACATTATAAGAAAGTTTTTACTATTGCATTGATAGGTATGGTTCAACTTCTCATTTTACTGGTAGTACTAGTACCAGGCATGATATTCTTCCGATTAAAATTGGAATTCTGATTTTTTTGGGAATTGCCCCCCCCTTTCCCCCCACCTCTTCTTCTCCTCCTTCCCCTCCCCTCGGAGGCCCCGAGTCAGGAGTTGCTGGCGCGGCTCCACGCGGCTCCAGTCCCGCGTTGCCTCAGGAAGGGAAAGGCAAAAAGGAAGAGCCGCGGCGGCGCTTTGCAACGGCAGCAGCGGCTCCTGGTTTTGCCTTTCCCTTCCCGAGGCAACGCGGGACTGGAGCCGCGTGGAGCTGCGCCGGCAGTAGCAACTCCTGACAGCCCCAGCCGGATACCTGAGCGGAGTCCGGGTGGTGCGAGCGGAGGCCGCTGAGCGGCAGGAAAAGGGAGCTGGGCCAGCCACAGACCAGCCTCCGTGCAACACGCCACCGCCCGGCCCTGGCGAGGGAAAGCAGCGGATGCTCCCCGGGGGCGCGGCGGGGGGTCTCTTTTGGCCGGCCCCGATTTTTTTTTCAGAGCGGAATATCATGCCTGTAGTACTCAAAATTAAAAAATGGTTTTAAAAAATGCATTGAGTCAAGATTTTTCATTAGACTTCTCAAGAAGTCAAATTTTATAGGACCAGTGAGATTTCTAGCCATTTGCCTTTCTGCTTTATACAAAGCTATTATAGTTTCCAAAAGAAAAAAACAAATACTAATTCTCACCCTGTCTCATATTTCCAAAGTCAATTAGTACCTTTCATTTCCTTTTGTTGACATCATAGGATGATGTATGGTAGCCCATGTTTAGCACTAAAATGCTTGACATATTATTTCTTTTTTTAACGAATGAAAGTGATATTAAGAAATCCTTAGTTTTAAAGTTTTAATTTAGTTTTTTCCCCTTCTAGAGACATTTTTAAACTGGAAAAGTAGGAAGTTGACTCGAGCAATTCAATATTACTTAATATGAATGGCATATTAACATGCATGTTTTCTCACTGTCTAATTGCAAAACATTTCATATTTCCTATTTTTATGAAAAGAACATTTAAACATATTATTATTTGAACTATCAAAAAACCTACATAAAGCTCTTGGGAAAGTGGATATATCTTTCTATTCATCGGTGAAAGAAGGGCAACGAGAGAATTCTGCACCTCTCTGCAGCCACAAAATAGCAGCAAAGCTTCTTATGGTTAGAAAAGAAGGCCGAAATAAGGTATGTTGTTAGAGGCTAATTAAAACACATTATCGGGACTTTTTTAAACCATAGTTTTACTAGGATATCTATAAATGGCCCATGCACATGAATTGTATGATGTACACATTTTTGTGAAATTTCAAATTTGTGCTTGGGGAATAAAATATTTTATTATGCATTTTGTTAGAATACATACAGTAGCTGAAAAATATGGAAATTAATAACTATTACAAAATGCTTAAGCATTTTAACCTTAAGCTGCTGAAACAGCTCAGCTCTGCACACTAGGGAAAGGGGAATGGCTTCCCTTTCAACAGGACCCATTTATGATACTGAATGCCAAGGACAGGATTCCTAGGTATAAGTTTTGTTTTTGTAAGTATAATAATGACTGTTGGGAGGTTTTGTCCCTGTGCAATGAATATTGTTTTTTAAAACCTGGCATTTTTTAAAAAATAGAAAATAGTATGAACTATAAGGGAGTCACTAAACAAATTTAGCAGTAGGAAAAATATGTTTCTTTTAATAAATACGATGTATCAGTTCAATAATCTGATGTTATATTTAGTTACAACTTTACACTGTGACCAAAAAGCCATATAACTCAGAACCAGATTAATTGAATCAGCATCTTCCAAGAGATTTGTTATACAATGTCACTTGACCAATAAAGTTAAGCTTTTTTTTTCTCCTTTCTCTCTCCCTCTCTCTCTCCCCCCTCCCTCTCTCTTTCTCTTGAAAATAGTCAGGTTGTCCATTAATCAGATTTATATGCACACAATTGCAGCACGCACTAACATAAATTGATTTATTGTATGGCTTGCATTTTGCTCCAGGGTCGTCTTTTCTATGCTTGTGATGCTGCTAAAGCAGATCGATGTGATTTCTTTAAGTGGCTTGAAGATGTAAAACCTGTACAGATGGAGAGTAAACCTTGTATTATACTTCATGATATAAAGAGTATTGGAACTTACCTCAGATGTCAAAGAATTTCTATCTATGAAGAATGCCAACTTCTAATAAGGTACTGTATGTTGAAATGTTAGATACACTTCAATAGCAGTTTATAACTGAAAGGAAGCAATGCTAATAAATAAGGAAGATAATGTCTACATTACTTAAGTTTCCTTTAGAAAGAATTACTGAAAAAGTAATTAAAAAGTAAAAATTAGTAATAATGAACCCAATATTACAAATTAATTTCTAGCAGACTAAGCAATTCTTTGGTCTTTGCCAGATTTACCACTTTCAATCAATATCTGTTACTGATATTAATATTTATAGGAATCAAGTTTATTGATTATTTTGCATGATATTAAAGCTTGTGCCCCAATTTTATTTATTTATTTTTTTATTTCATGAAAATCTATGTTTAGTATTTGCTTATAAAGCAATAATATCAATTACAGGGTTCTTATATATATTTTTTGCAGGAAAATGTTTGATACTCAAAGAAAACTATTTGGTAAGATGAAGAGATGTGATATTGCAAAGGCTAACTTTGACTGTGATTCTAAGAGGAAATTATTTCTTAAACTGAACCGGAAGGAACATTCCTCTACATATAGCAAAGGTTGGTAAATTTGAAAATCTTTGAGACTAAAGAAAATTTATGTTACATTTTGTTATCTTACATTATGTTACAACATGTTTATTTGTTAACTGACTCAATCTAATGACTGGTAGCATACTGCAACCAAAAATATACAAATAATAACGTAATAAATAATTTACAATATACAAGAATATGCAAGTATGAAGAAACTGTCATGCTGGAGTCAGCAGTCTGGGCACTTGTATTCTGGGCTAATCAGAGCTTCCAGGCTGTCTCCAAAGACAGCTCTATAGAGAGCACATTACAATAGTACACCAAATCTGTGGTGATCAGGCTGTGAGTTATTGTTGCCAAGGCATCTTGGAGTAGATCCATCCAGGCATCTGTTTGGCAGAAACACAAAGTCCAGAAGGAACCCTAAGTGACACATTTCTTTGAGGCTGCATGATGACTCTGGCATGCCTTCATCTCCTGGTCAACGTGTATGTGACAATTGAGCCAGGTCATCAAAGGTGTTATTCAGCAGGTTCTGACCAGTTCTGGCGAACCGGTAGAGGAAATTTTGAGTAGTTCAGAGAACTGGCAAATACCACCTCTGACTGGCCCTGCTCCTGAGTCCCAGCTGATTGATTGGGTCTTCTTTTGTTGCTCTGCACAAGAGAACGCAGCTGGAAAGCAGGTTAGTGGGGTGGGAGGGAATGGGGTTTTGCAGTAATCTTCTCCCGGGAGTGGGATGGAAATGGAGATTTTACAGTACCCTTCCCCTGCCACGCACACCAAGCCATGCCACGCCCACCAAGACACACCCAAAGAACTGGTAGTAAAAAAATTTGAATCCCACCACTGCAGGTCATCTATTACAATAAAATAATTATTGTAAAAGATATAATAGATCATCAATAATTGATTGATCGATTGATTTGAATTGATTCCTGTCCTCAAAGCAGCTAACTCAGTTCTGATGATACCAAGCTATGTATCTTGACTCCCTGACTGACCAAATGACATTGTCGCAGTTTTGTCCCAGTTCCTAATTCTGTTGTGCTCTGGATGGAAGAGGGTTAAGCCCAACAGTCAGCAATGCTGAATGGCTATGGCTCTATGAACTATATGACTCTGAGGATTTTCTAATTTTAGTTCTGGATGGATTGCGCTTCCACAGACAGAATTGGTGTATAGTTTGGAGTTTTTCCTAGACTTGTAGCTCCTACACAGAAAGTAGTTGGCAGCTGTGGCCAGGAAAGTTTTTGCATAGACTTATCTTATGCATCATTTGCACCTGTTCCCAAAATAGGAAACCCTTTTTACAATCAGTCTGCCTTAATCACCTCATCTATGGACTATTGCAATATGTTCTCTATGGGGCTACCTTTGAAGATCACTTGGAAACTCTAGCTGGTTCAGTATACAGCATGAGTGGTGTTAGACATATATTTCCAAATTATTTAAAATACTCAAAATGGTGGCCTTAGAAATTGAAATTATAGGTATGTAAATAAATAAATATTCTTATATTTTTATTTAATATTTAGCTTATATAATAAAACAGCTGTGAATGATTTTTTTTTCTGTTCATAATCAATTAAGTGATGTACATGATAAAATCTAAAATACCTCTCAGAGAATAGTTTTTCAAATATTACTCTTAAGAATATGAAATTACTTAATATGAAAATAGGTATTTACCCAAAGCATTGCTGGTTAAGAGAAGGAAAAATACCAGGATATTTTCAGCAAGAATCCATAGGAAATATAAAATGAAAATAACTTTTTTTTTCAAAGTTTCAATTGTAGCTTTACTTCTGAATTGTAAAATTGATTGCTTGTTGTAACTTATGCAAATGTATGTACTTTGTTGACAGATGACCTTTGGGTTGTTTCCAAGACTTTGACCTTTGAACCACTGGACACTTTCATTGCATATAGTGTTTTTTTTGGACCATCCTCTAATAATGAAGTGGAGTTGGAGCATCTCAATGGTTATAGCCCATCAAATTGGCGTTCAGATAGTAAGTTTCTCTTCAAGGGTTTGTTTGTTTTTTTTAGAATAGATTATTCAAAATATGACTAACTCTCTAATATGCCATAAAACGGAATTCTAAGAGCTTTTACTGGAAAGATTATCATTGAATTAGATCAGCTCTTTCAAAGAAAGTGGGAAACTCAGTTCAGGGCATTTGGTAAGTTGGAAAATGTAAATAGCCAAAATATTTTACTTATCCACAGGATATTTTGCTGCAACTAAAATGTGTTGCTTGAAAATTATCTTAGTTCATGGTCAGCTTGAGAAAGCTAAATATTTTCACAACTTTGATTAAACTCAAGGCATAATATATACACTTTGAAAAGCTCAGAGGAAAAGCAGAGCTAGAGTACAGGGAATGGACTGAAGTGAAACACAATTACCTGCTTTTCTTATAGAAACATTTACATGGTATGTGAAGAGATGGGGGGGAAATCCAAATATATCCTTGTTAAACAGACAAAATTAGATAATCATAATAATAATTCAAAAACCTCTTCCGTTCCAGGGAACAACACCAGAATGAGAATTTTTAGAGGCAGGTCATTTCTGAAAAATTTTGCTTTCAGAACAAGGAAAAACAACCCTCGCTAACTAATCCACGAGTCTTGCAAACAGATTCAATTGAATCTCCCCATGTCTATTATTTACCTTAAAAACTATTGTTACAATTGATTTTGGCATGCATATTAGTGTTTTGTCCTTTTGGACCTAACTTAATATTCAATTTTTTTAGCACATTCCTCTCTAAATATCTATTTCTTATTATATTTTCTTTCTTAGTGATTGTTCATGCATTGTTTGTGTGTAATGCTAGCACTGAACTCACAAATTTGAGAAATATACAGGAAAATGTCAGTTCAATCACTTTGCCAATCATGCAACACCTACTTACAAAGTAAGTAGTAATACTATCTTTTAAAAACAGAAACAAATTTGTACATTCATTGATATAAATACATTTGAATTATTTGACTGGAAATATGTTTTAATTCTAGTGCTAAGGTTAAATCTTATCTTTTTTTGTATTTTAGGAAAGAATTATTTCCAAAAACCAAAGAAAGAAAACAAAAGTTTAAACCACCAGGGATAAGTACAAATGCAATAAAATCTGATGCATTCAGCCCAGAAATAGTTATAAATCTTGCTGATAAGATTATTCAAGCTTTCCAGCTAAATAAAGATCAGGTCACAGCAATGATGCAGATTGGTGCCATGATGACATCTCAAGAAATAAATACAGAAACAGCGAAGCATCCGACGTTTCCAATAACAATAATACATGGTAAATTATTTCATAAGAGCTTCGGGGGTTTTTCCTTCTCCAGTCCTGTATTCCAGAATTCCCCAATGTTTCTGGCTTTGGAAGGGAGATGGTTCCGTGTGAGGGGCCGGGAAGCATGCACGCTGTTTGATTAAATGGAGCACACTTGCTGTCCGTTTCCTCCACCCAGTTGCAAACCCCTCACAGTCCACAGGTTGGGGACCCCTGCTATATTCAGTCTATATTTTAAATGAACCATCTTCAATTTTGTCTTTCTTCTCTAAACATTTCTTTTTTCAGGATTTTAATTTAGATGTTTTTATTATTAGCAACCATTTATATTCAAACTTTTGAACTTTATACAGTACTAAATTCATGTTCCATCTTGCAGCTTCCCATGTACCCCAGCAAATCTTCTCTGGAAGGTTAAGATTTTTCCATGAGCATATTTGGGATATGCAAAAGCCTGCAATGGGGAGGAAACTAAGAATTTTATTTAGGTTTATTTAGGAGGTTTTATACTGAATAGGTTTTCTGTGCAATCTACTTCAATATCAATGACCTGCAGGTTAAATGGAAAGATATGTCTTACCTACACAATTAGGAAAGAATATTATCAGAATCTTCTCACTATTCTAGCATAAATTTCAGGCTTAATAGCAGCTATAAGTCAAGGACTACCTATATTTGCAATCATAGCATTAGTCAGCTTTCTACTCTAATTCCAATATTACTTTTCAATTAATTAGATGCAATTAATATATTGTATATACAGCTAAGAATGCTTAATGTTTTCTCATGATGAATGTTTGATTTCTCTAACCCCCCTTAATGTTCTGTCCAGTTTCAAAGAAAATATCTATTTGAAAGAATACTACACAATATGTTTGATTCTGTGAATACTTAATTTATTAAACTACATATGTAGGTGTATTTGGATCCGGAAAAAGCTTATTGCTGGCTATTGTTATTTTATTCCTGACACAAATATTTGAAATCCATGAAGCAGCTAATGACAAACGGTCAGTGCCATGGAAAATATTGGTTTCTTCTTCCACCAATGTTGCTGTAGACAGAATACTATTGAGGTTAGTAATTTAGAAATCATGCTTAAATTGTTTCCATAAAATTTGGTTTTTTTTTTACAATAATACTGTATGTGCATACAATTTAATCCTGATATACTCTTCTGTTTTTGCAAACTAATCAAATGCAGCCTTTTGTTTTTCTTCTGGTAGCAACCTAAAATGTTACTGGAGTTTCTTTGGAAACTTGCAATTCTATAAAAACCTATGGAAATTTGAACCAAATTCTGCTTCAAGAGCAATTTTCTGAGTCTCCTCTCATAACTACCCTGCTACATAGTGACAAAATGATTAATGTAGCAAATTTCTACCCAAATCCCTCCAATTCACAGTCCCTTCATAGATTAAAATGAGCATTAATATATCTTTGTCTCTGAAGCATTCAGTGGAAAGATTTACCCCTCAAATGGAGAAAAACTGTTTATATGTGTTCCTTCGCCCTCCTGAAGCAGTTTGGTGTAGTGGTTAAGGCATCAGACTAAAAACCAAGAGACTATGAGTTCTAGTCCTGCTTCAGGCACACCGACAGTTGGAAGACCTTGGGCTGGTTATTCTGTCTCAAGTCTCAAGAAGGAGTCATTGGTAAACTACTTCCAAAATCTTGTAAAGAAAACTGCAGGACAATTGCCAGTAATCAACACTGACTCAAAGGTGTGTGTGTATGTACACACACACACACACACACAAAAGGTCCACCTCCTAAGTCCTTCTAATTTGTTAAGGATATCCCAGTGTGATAGCTTCAGATTTGCTCATGAAAAGTGATGCAGTTTAATGACCATGAAAAATATAAATGAAAGGATCAATATTTCTTTTAAGGTATTTCAAATAATGAATTATTGTTTATTTCAGTCTACTAGACATTGGATTTGAAGACTTCATTAGAGTGGGAAGCATTAAAAAAATTGCAAAGCCAATACTTCCTTACAGGTAACTTGCTGAAAATGTTTAGCCAGGTCCAAAAGTCACTTGTGAGTCTACAAGGAGCCTTTGATCAAGCATTTGTGTAGAGCAAAGGTCTTCAAAGCTGGCAAGTTTAAGACTTGGGGACTTCGACTCCAGAATTCCTGAGCTAAAATGACTGAGGAGGAGGAGGAATTCTGGGAGTTGAAGTCCACAAGTCTTAAAGCTGTCAAGTTTGAAGACCCTTGGTGTAGAGGCACAAGCATAAGCTAGTATTTTCATGAGAGAGCCATATAAGCAGCTGTCACAGTTGTGTGACTTTTTTTAAACTACAAGAAGCTAGGTGGAAATTCAAATAATTTTTAGCAACTTATACAATTAGAATAATTATTCCTTTATTGCTTTCATCATAAAATATTTTTCTAGATTAATTTACCATTAATCCCTATCCTCCAAAGACAACATGGAATAAATGAACACTGGGCATTCTGACAGAAGCTTTTATTAAAGGATGTAAGCCATTTAAGTATTGGAAAGTATGGGACATAAATTATCAAAATAAGCACTTGAAATGGATTCTTAATGAGGTTGAAGTGTTGAGTACTTCTATATTATTGTGTTACAGGACATTTTATTTTTCAGATCTTTTAAAAAAGTCACGTGAATTTTTCTATGATTTTATTGTTAACTGCATTCTGCTGTTTGGTCATTTTAAAATTATTTTTTTTTTTATTTTGTTTTGATGTCTATAAGCTACTCTGGAAGAAACTGGTGTAAAATGTTTGTTTTAAAACAAATATATGAGCTGCTTAGAGATAGTTAGCCCAATAAATCTAATAATAAATTCTTGCTGGCTACTACTTGTGCAAAATGTTTGAATACACACATATATGAACAAGTAAATTGTAACGTGGGTCACGGCTTATAATTATTTGGGTATAAATATAATTTTTTACACAAGGCTCATTCAGACTAGATAATCCCTTTTGTTCTTTATTCCATAAACAACATGCTATGCTACCTTTTGTGACATGGGTGACTGGGATCTTCCCTTAGATACCAGCTTCTACCTAAAGTAGAAGCGGCAGTCTTTTGTGCAGAGGAATCTTTTCATAAATAGACTGTTCTAGTCAGTATTATTCCATACAATGGTTTGAATCCCTACCACCGCATAACGGAGTCATGTTACTTGTGCCAGCTTCTGCCAATCTAGCAGTTCGAAAGCATGTAAAAATGCAAGTAGAAAAACAGGAACCACTTTGATGGGAAGGTAACAGCATTCCATGTGCCTTCGGCATTTAGTCATGCTGGCTACATGACCACGGAGATGTCTTCGGGCAGTGCTGGCTCTTTGGCTTTGTAACGGAGATGAGCACCGCCCCCTAAAGCCGGAAACAACTAGCATGTATTATGTACGAGGGGAACCTTTACTTTTACCTATACAATATGTTAAAGCTTGCATGCTGACTTGAGATCTGAAAATGAACAGCTGAAAGAATTACTTGCCTTGATGAAGGAGGATTTGAGCCCAGTGGAAAAAATGTATGTGAAGAAGACCATTGAACAACATAAACTGGGCACCAATAAAGCTTCCCTGAGAAAGGTAATGATGAAGTGTATTTGCATGTGCCAATATGTAGCATAGATTTTTTTAAAATTATTGTTACAGTATGTTTAGATGCTCCGGTTAAGTAATACAATGTGGCATAACAAAAATCATAAAAGAATCAACAGAAAGCCATCTTGAGTAAAGCCAATGGAACCCGTTTTAAACTATGAGTTGGATGTTGGGAAGGGGGCTCCTCAGGTATTCTTTTAATAGCCAAGAATATCTCAGTGTCATAGCCGCTGATTTATAAATGAACATGTCCGTTTGTAAAGTCATGCAGCATAAAGATTATGACAATTTAAAAATAAAAGGACCAATATTTATTTCAATATATTTCAAATACATTTGTAATGAGTTTGTCAAATGACAATTTTTTGTGTAGTTATTGCCTGAAATCTGGACAAACTCATTTCCGGCAAAATTTGACTATTAAATTCAAAATCCACCAAACTACTGCCCCTTAAATCTGTTCTGACCATGGCTTCTTGACACCATCATTAAGCACACGCTTAGTCCATACAACTCTCTTTTTATTTCAACACTGGGAATTATGTTCATTTCCAGCCCATAATGAGTACCAGTCTTTTGAGAGAAGCACCCACTTTTACCTCCTTTGAATTGCTGCCAACAACTAAAGTGCCAAATTAACTGTAAAAAGTCAAACGAAGTCCAAAGTGTACACAGAGCTTCAAGGTTTAATACGAATAGAGCGAACAACATTGCTTCCTGCAAAGGTTCCTGTCCCTTTGCATTTTCTTTATATCTTAGGGGAGGGGCAATCATCTCCAAGCCTTACTCCCGAGTTGCCCCTTTTGTCTTAACTGCTCTTGCCTTCTGGCAGCTCTGCGCACATGCGCACTGGAAACAGGCTTCCCTTGTTCCTCTGCCTCACTGCTGTCAAATTCTGGAGCCTCCGGAGTCAGCACATAATTAAATCAAGCATTTATTATAATTATGAAAAAGACTGGGCAATAAAGTTATCCATCATTTTTATTGAAATACGTTAGTGGACCCTGGCATCAGATGAATAAATTGAACATTCAGTTACTTGTATTTTTAGTCCTTGCATGTTTTACTAATTTTTTAAAGCAAACTTCAAACATAGGGGTAATAAAATCAGCATCATGGGATCATGTTTGCTCCTCAGGCTTCATGATAAATTTGATTATTTTTTTTAGTCGCATCATTTCTGGGTATAAATGCATTCAATTAGCAAACAAAGATATTGAATTTTGATTGTACAACATGTGGTTCATTATTTGTATGGGTGGCTTTATTTTTCCTCTATTGATACAGGTGAAGGTAGTGGGATCTACCTGTGCTGCCTGCTCATTTCCATGCTTGAAAAGTCTTAAGTTTCCTATAGTGATTCTAGATGAGTGTAGTCAAATGACAGAACCATCTTCTCTGCTTCCTATTGCAAGGTATGGCATCAGTTTACTTTATTATTACACTCCTTGACTTATAACCAGCCAATTAGCAATCGTTCGAACTTACAATAGACTTCCCCAGAACAACATATAATCCAGACTCAACATTTCAATGAACACCCCCACCCCCCCAGTCACATGATCATATTTTGGGCACTCAGCAATCACCCTGCATTTAAGGCTGTTCGCAGTATTCTATGGTCACATGATCATGATATACAAGTGGTTTTTTTTTTTCAGTTTCTGACAAAATTTGGCAAAATCCAGACAATGGATTCACTTAAGAACTGTCACATCCACTTAATGACTGCTATAGAAAAGGTTGCAAAATCCCATAGTGACCCACTTAACAATCAGCATGACTGATGAGATGTAATTCAAGACTCAATTATGGTCATAAATTCAGGACTACCATTAAATTCAGGTGTACTGATTGTTTTAACTTATGATGTAAGTTGCTTTAAGTTTTAAGATGTAAGCAAGAAACAGCAACTCAATGACTAGCCTTGTAACTAAATTCTCAAAATGGAGTGGGGAATTGTGATGGCTTTGCTGACAGCAACAATGGCTGTGTGAAGCTGGTCTCCGTTTTTTATAAAGTTTTAAATACAATATATTACGTAGAAAACTAAAGGTGAAATAGTGAGATGGTCAAGTATGGTGAAGACAGCCAATATAGATGAAGGTGAGAAACTCTTACAGTTCCAAAACTGGGCCTTAGCAAGGTATTATTTATCTTCAAGAAACTGGAAGTATTTTTTCAAAGATTCTTGTTGAATCAGTTTGCTGTTAGCTGCTAGGTCAGGCAAATCCAGAGGAATGGCTATTTTTATTTCCCCAAAACATCTGATTAAGGTACACTAGCCCTTTATGCATCCCAAGATTCAGTATGTGATTCTTAAGGGTATAATACACCAGACACCTTACACTGGGTAAGTTTCAAGAAACATTTTTAATGCAACATTTTAATATTATCCAAGGAATTAAGAGAGAGTAAATACTAGCTAGGCATTAGAGCTGAGTTATGATTGAATAGGGAAATGCTATAAACAATACAAAAGTTACCGTATATATTTGTTTTAAAATACATATTTATTAAGAACAAGTAATCAATAAAGATTATACATTCTGTTGGCAAAATGTTAAATATTTAATATTAAATATTAAAAGATGGGTAATATTTTAATTGTCAACTCTTTTTATTTGGGCTTCTGTATTAACAATTTCATACCATGCTCCAAGTTTTAATGAACTTTCTGGTATGGAATAAATTTAAAGATAATTAACTGTTTTTAGCACAGAGGTCTGAAGCCTAATAAGTTTAAACTGTATAGCAAGTAAACAGACAGAAAGAAGTTTCAGCTCTGTATTACCAGTTACAATTTATAAGGAAGTTGGTCAGGCTATTTATTTTGTCTTTAGACTTTTTTTTGCCTAACATTATGGTTTATATGATATATGGTTGCCTTTTACTGAAAGTAAATTTCCCATTTTTTAAGTTTAATGTGTGATGGCCAGAAATATGTTTCCATTTATAGTTTTGAATGTGAAAAGCTGATTCTTGTTGGAGATCCTAAGCAGCTGCCGCCTACCATTCAAGGATCTGAAAGTGCACATGACAGTGGTTTGGAACAAACTCTCTTTGATCGACTCTGTTTGATGGTACGTACTTCTAATATCTAGAGATAGAGACTTGTTTTTTTTTAACTTTAAAAATACTTAAGAGCCTAGAAAGTGAATCAAAATCTTATACAGCAAAATGTTGCTTTCTTAATGTTATATGCCCTGCTTTTTTATGAAAATATGTAGTACACATACTCAGTAGATATTTCTGCTCTACATAATACATGACACATAGAATACAAATCAGATGCACGAATAGGCATTTATATACAAGATTATCAAAAGGACTAGTTATCTAAAAGTGCTTTCAGAGAGTATTAGTGGTGCAGTTAAAGAAATGCTTCTATTAGAATGTTTCTAAAAATCACTCCTAAAAGAATAAATCATATTTTCCATATTTCTGAATCAGGCAGGATCAATTTCAGTGTCTGTGTTGAATCAGTAACGCTAGTGTAACATTTTCACAAATACTGGTGCTTCTCTAATTTTTGAAAATGTTTTTATCAAATAACATTCCTTTTTTAGATCTTTAAAATAAGATATACTATTTGTAGATAAGATGAAACTATTATGGTTTTTTTTCCTTGAAGGGTGGCTTTTGCAATTTTTTCCTTTATTAAAATAAAAAAATACATTCCAAATGTTGCTGATTAATAATCTGACAATACACTTGCTGCAAGGAAAATATTCTAAAATTACAAATAAAAAGATAGTATGTAAATATATTTAAAAAAACAAAACAAAAGTATGTGACCAAATTACCTTACTTCTTTTTGGAAAAAAAAAACAGTTTAAACATCATAAAGAACAACAATCCACACTTCACTTTGCAGGTAGATTTAGCCTTCTGAGTGCATAAAAAAATTACCACAGTTCTCCATAGCTATGGATAAAGGGTTTATAACTCTTTAACAGATAACAGATAATAATAGATAATCAGAGTTGGAAGAGACGTTGTAGGTCATCACAAATTAATAATTTGGTGGTAGATAAGGGTCAAAGGAATTCGGGGGGGGGGGGCAGAAATGCAAGGACTCTAAAGTGGTGATGTGTTTAATTTCACCCCCTCTCAGCTCTGCCTGCTATTTTCCTACATTATACTGTATAATTACATTGATATTTAACAGTGTTTTCCATTATTTTTGCTCTCTTTCTTTTTCCCCTTGCTATAATCACAGGGGTATGCACCTATATTACTCAGAACACAGTATCGTTGTCATCCTGTTATTGCTGCTATAACCAATGAGCTATTTTATGAAGGAATTCTGTTGAATGGAATTTCTGAAATAGATCGAAGTCCTCTCTTGGATTGGCTACCAACACTGTGTTTTTATAATGTTAATGGATCAGAACAAGTAAGTATTGCATTAATTGAAGATAATGGTTTAGAATTAAGAACTTGTGGTTTTCATGTTCTTTTATAAACCAAATTGTTTAGGACAGAAATTGTAGAAGAGATATCCATGAAGTAACTGTACCCTGAGCATAACATATCCATGGATCTTCTCCATTTCATACACTTATGACTAAAATAGTTAATCCGTACAAATGAACTTCTTCCTAGAACGTGTACTTCTCTGTCTCATTTGATTGAGCATTCCAGTGGCAGCCCTATGATAAATGTAACTTGATAAAGTCTTAAATTAATAGTACTATATTTCATTATGCTATCAAACTAATTACTGTATCATTGACTTTTTTTCCATTATATAACTCAAAATCTGTTTTCCAGATTGAAGCAGACAACAGTTTCTACAATATGGCAGAATCGTTTTTCATTGTCAAATTAATACAATCTCTGGTTGCCAGCGGAATAGATGGATCTATGATTGGCATAATAACTCTCTACAAATCCCAAATGAACAAGGTATTTTTTAGTCACCAAAACAATTCCAATGTAGTATTTTTTTAAAAAAATATATCATTAATTTGATTTTTTACAAACAAAAGACCCTCAGCTTCATTATGCTTTAGTTTAAACTAATTGGGAATTTTTCAGAGATAATTCTATTTAAAAATACACTATAAATTAAAACCCAAAACTTTATAGTTCAGTAAGGGTCTGGCTTGCCTCAATTTTGAATGTACTACTTCTCCCATAACCATAAAATTTTTCATTAATATTTGTTTTATGAATCCTTTTTTTAATTCAACCTGCTCCAATGGTAGATGTTTTAAGATCATATTTCATTACCCATAATTTAATTTTATTCGAGCTTATACAAAGCTGTAGACTCTCATGGATTTCATCTGTTTCTGTTTGCAGATCCGTAATTTGTTTGGTGCCGTACACATGGATGCTGCCCAAATAAAGGCTGTCCAGGTGTCTACAGTAGATGCTTTTCAGGGAGCAGAGAAAGAAATAATTGTTTTATCTTGTGTAAGGACAAGACAAGTTGGCTTCATAGATTCAGAAAAGAGAGTGAATGTGGCTCTGACTAGAGGAAAGAGACATCTATTGATAGTAGGAAATCTAAACTGTTTAAGAAAGAACAAATTATGGGGAAGCGTTATTCAGCATTGCACAGGTAAAGTAAGATATTTTAAAATATAACTTACTCATGTATTTATTCATTATACTTATAGTCTGCCTGTTCTTTGAAATGCAAGAAAGGGGAGAAGCACCCCAACATTATTTTTACAAGAGTAATTTGTCGACATAATCTGATCAGAGAGGGAATGGCTGGGCTAAAATTTGTTTTTAAAAGTTTTTTGATCCACCAGAGACTTACCCAAGCTCTCTCGGCTCAAGGTGATACCTTTACAACAGTGGTCCCCAACCTTTCCAGCTTGGCAGACTGTGGGGGGGAGAGAGTGGGGAGACGGGATCGTTCCACGCGAGCGAGCGGTGCATACATGGGCACATGCAACTCCATATAGAGTTGTGCGCATGCACACTTTCCCACCCCTTGTGAAGCCCGGGGATTGGGGACCCCTGCTTTACAACTTTAAATTGTCTCTCTTTAAAGTCATCACTATATCAAGCAGATCTATCATGTACAAAGGCCAGAGTGTTTAAAGTTTAATTGCTAATATGTAAATATCCTATTCTGCTATTTATAGGGAGAAAAAATGGATTTCAACATGCTAACCAATGTGAACAACAACTGAATGATATTGTTAAATCTTATTTCAAGAGAAAGATGGAAGAAGAAGCCATCATGAAAAAGAAAAAATCTAAAAATGAATCACTTTCTCAAAAAACAAACGCATAAATATACTGAATTATATCAACAATTTCATCTTGTAAATCAAAAAACTTCAGTTTTTATATTTTTAAGTGCCTCCAGTAATACTGTTACATACATTAATGTTTTTTTAAAAAGTTTAAATATAATAAATAACTTTATAACAATGTAATTTCTAATGAAAGCTAACTTATTAGGAACTGTACATTTCATGACAACAAACTTTCTTCATGCACAGCTGTTTTAATTCTTGAACTGCTCTATAAATACCATGGTATTAAATAAACTCCTATTTAAAATATTTCACATGGATTTTTCAATAGGATACAAATTTATTCATAAATAATGGATTACGGTTTTCACTATTACAATAGATACCTACCTTCTGCAATCATTTGTGTGGGATCATTGGGAAGAAAGTCTTTACTTGCTTTTTTTCCCTCTTACAATTATATTACTTGGCATCACTGTGTTGGAAGGGACTCTCTTATCTACCCATTCTAGCTCCCTAACTTCAAGCAGGAATTAAAACTAAGCATCTCTTACAAATAGCTATAGCTAAGTTAGAACACATGCACAGGATGAGTACCCACTAATGATTGATTTCACTGTTAAACCTCATTTTCTTTTAGTAAATATTTTCAGTAGTCTGCCTTTGTAACTTAAATTCACTATTTCATGGCTTCGCCTTTTATCTAATAACCTGTCATATATTTCAATGCCATCATATCTCCTGTTTTCTTTTCTGAACACTTACTGTAACAAATCCTTTACATTTCTGTACTTCTGACAATGTAAAGATCCCTGATCATGTTTGTTCCATCTTTTAAGTGTATTGTCAGAACAAGACATGATATTCAAGGTGTGTGTCTGAGCAATACATAAGGCCCAATAAAGTGTCATTATAATTCTTGGGATTTGTTGGTAACTGCTAAGTTATAAACCAAACCAAGGAGTGGGGGCAGGGGTGGGAGGGAATGGAAAGTGTGTTTTCATTTGAGAAAAATTTTCCACCTGGCTCGGCTTTTCTTTGCATGAGTTCTCTATTTCACAGTCTTAGACGAGTTTCTCTTTATGTTAACATCCTAAATCTCAGGATAAGTATCACTGCTTATAAAAGAAAGGCATAAATCATTGCTTTAGAGGCCATCTTATATTTCACATCCTATTAATATAAATTTTACATACTATAACTTCTATAATTATTTTGAAATATATTACATATTTTTAAAAATGAATAAAATATATCACAGGATATATTTTTGAATAGCAATATTCACTTTGATCCTGCAACATTCACTTTATCAAGGATGCCATCTTTGGGATTTTAGGAGGCAATAAAATCAAAGTTATTTTAATAAGCATTCTTAAACTAATAACCTATTTCATACTCCTAAGAAATCATGATAAATTATAATACCCCAAAGACGTAATAACAATTTTTGCTGATAATGATACATAAAATACAGTTTTATTCATCTTACAAAAACTAACAGCACAGAAGATGTAGTTGCATGATCAGTTGAACATATATTCTCATTTTTTGTTCAATTTATATTTTAGAAAGTGGATATCCAAATGTATTGAAGTTAATGGTGTTGAATAGAATTTAATTTTCTAATAGAAATTAGCCCTCCGTTGTTTAGCTAGGTATTACTTTTAATATATCACAATGCTATTCTAGTTGTTTAAAATAACACGTTATCAGCTTTCTCAAAGTATTGTATGGAAAATATTTACAGATTTAAAATATTGCACCATAGAAATATAAATTTTGTTTTTTGCAGTTAAGATTCTAGCTGAAATAAAAATTGTCCATTAGGTGGAGCCAGTGTACTCTCTGCTTTTCATTTCACAGCACGAAGGTAACAAGCAAAGGTCATCTATTTTTTTCTTTGAAATAATGACAATTTGCATAATCTCACATGAATTAAGATAATTATTCAAATGTGATGCAAAATTCTTACCAATAGACTTTGAAGTTCTCTTCAGCCAAACGAAAATTGCACCCTAAACTTTGAAAGCTATCTACATTTCAAAAGTGAAGGCGAGATTCACTATCATATTTTGGTTATTTCTTAAAAAGGTTTTCTTTTAGCTCAAGCTGTCACTAAACCCATTAATACACAAAGTGTGGAAGAAATAGTCAAGAGCTGAATAGCATCTTTTAAATTACTGGTGACACCCCTGTTCCAGCTCCCTAAAATCTCAATCAACAATCCATTAGAACGCAACAGGAGTAAAACTAAATCCTCGTTTAAGTGTATTTATCCAATCTCTTTTCTCTCTTTCAAATGCTAAATCCATTTCAGCATATGCCCCTTCTTTCTCTCGCCTTTCTCTAAAGGCTGGCAGCCTATACTTCTCTTGTAAATATGAAAGATGCTAATCATATGACATATCACGTCTCAGTCGGAGCTTGGAATAAAGCCTTGAGATTTGGGATCATTGCCTCTAGACAACAGCTTCATCAGCCGGAAAGTTGGGGTTTTTTTCTCCTTTCCTTCAACTCTCAATCCCCTCTTTGTCTAAGAAAAAACGCAGCCAACTCAAGCTACCCTGGCCATATGGTTCACTCTGTATTTTCTTATTTGAATTCTGAATTGTTTCTGCGACTTGCTAAGAGGATTTTTTTTTTTTCCTCCACTGAAAGTGCATAATATAAAGACATAGTCCTGCTATTTTGAGTTGGGATGTCTTTCAATGCTACCGCTGCATGAGCTCCCTAGGTTGATTAAAATCAATGTACTTTTCATTGATTTTATTTAAACTACTTCCTACTCCTGAATGAATTCCATCCTACTGAACTCCTAAGTATTCTAGAATTAGAATTCCTTGACTTCCAACATTTGGAAATTGAATAAATAAATAACAAAATAAAACTTGGTAATTTTGTGCTGTACTTTGAAGCACAGAGTTTATTTTAATAGGGATCTGTCAGATTTCTTTTTCCCCGTCTCTTCTACAGATATGTGTTTGTCTATATCTACTCCTTCTCTTGCCCCCTCCTTTCTCAGGACCCTTTCAACGAATCATTAAATTCTACAGAGGTGGTCAAGCCAGGCCCGCTTTTCATGCGTTTGGGAAAAGAAAGGAGTTCTTGAAGTTTAGAAGATACCCAAGGAAAACTCCTTCAATGACATCAAAAGAATGGGTTTCCATAGCTGTTGAAGCACGAGAGCCATGTAAACTGCACAAAGGCGGGTTGGGGCAGTGGGACTGTCCCGCTGCTCTATCCCAGCACAATTGGGTCACTGAAATAGGGAATTAATTACCATTGGAGAGTGGGCAACCCATTCACCACTGCCTGAGTTTTATTAAACGCCAATATAAATAACAAAACAACTCTTGTGGCTGCACTATTCCAACACGCCAAAGGAAGGATTAGCTTGGGGATTAACATCTTAAAGTCTATGAGACTTTCTGACTCAAGGCTCAGAGCTGGTAATCGTATTTGTCTCCTGGTTCAGCGATTAGTGCTCCCTTACTCCAACCTTCGCCTGCTACCCAGTGTCCCTTTTTGCAGGCTTCTCTTTTTGGGTGTCCATTCCATCTCTGCTCACAATCGGCTGTTCTTTTAGCCAGGGACAGTGGGGGGAGAGAAGAAAGAAGCATTGCATCTCAACCAGGCAATCTTCAAGGTTCTGGGAAAATGGAGGAGAAGAGCTTATGGGCTCCTGAGGCTGGGGTGGAGAGAGTCTAACCGCCCTAAAAGGAGGAGGGAGAGAGGGAGGGAGGAACAGCCTGAAGTTTAAAAATCACTGTTGAAGCCTGCACCTGCCATGCAAATGAGGCAGACAAAACAATCAGAGCACCCTCACAAAGAGGGAGAGTTGGAGAGAAAGAATAATTACAAGCAAGGGATGCCTCCAGGCTACATGGGTATAGGCATCTTCGGATGAGACCCCTAAAGGGCACCCATCTGTCAAACCAAAGGAAGTACAGGGAAATTGTTGTGCCCTTTGGAGCCCCCATATAAACAAGATCAATTTCTTCACCTAGTGTTCTTGCACTACTCTCTTCAGAGTTTCTGAGTGCCACATCTTAACAATAACAATAAATAAGACACCATTACAAACTGAAGTGTGTCCCTGTCCTATTGTCCCCATTTATTCATACCTATTTCCTGTATTCATACTCACGTTTATTCTTATACCTATTCTCTTGTAAGCGATTGACAAATCAAATAAATAAAAAATAAATAAGTTTACAATTAAAGTGATATCCAAGAACAGTTATGGTGATAGATAACTTATAAAAGTCAAAAACCTTTATTTAGTTCTTTCTGGCCTGTTTGACTAAGCCTAACAGGTTGAAGATAGGGGGAGGGGAGAGAGACTGATAATTAAGAGTCTCTAAGCTTTCTTTCTTTAAATAGATTAAATTTGCATTGCATCGGGTACAATGCCATGTAAGACTGTGTCACTTGGTGCAATGCAAATAGCTAAGGCATATCTGTACACTTCTTGATGATCCAGAGGGCATAGACTACAGTTTTTGTGACAGTAATTCAAACTTCTGAATTGTTTTTATTAGCACCAAGCAAATTAACCTTATCTTGCATTTTTTAAATAGTTCTCATTTAACTTGAAGACATTTTTATTCAACATAATTTTTTAAGAAATTATCATGGGTGGACTATGATATTCTTAGTTATTCTCTTATTTAGTTAGCAGTGCTCAAGGGATACGTGTGAACATCTTAGCTTTCATTGTATGCTATTGTTTCCAGTGACTTGCAGTTATGCTAACTCCCCAAATTTCAATCCTGTTCAAAGGAAAAAACTTGGAGAGAACCGCCATGTGTTCCTTTACGCGGCAGTTCAATTTTCTGTGGCAGTTTAATTTTCTTTATAGAGAGTTTATGAATCAGAACTTTGTGAAATTGTTGCAAAATGTAATCTTGCACTGGAGAAATTTAACTACTTTAAATCTAATTTAGCTTCATTTTAATTAATTATAGAGTGAGCTGGTTGGAATTCACACTAAACCACAATCAAAGAAACTACATCATGGTATAATATGATCTGGAAATCAACTTCTCTACAGTTCAGGCCCT